TAGTTAAATTTAACAATATCTTGACATAAAAAAAATAGATTTTATTGCGAATATAATATCAACGTGTCTATTTCAATTCTGTTCTGCAAAAGAATCATACACCAACAGTAACAAACAGTTACGAGCCATTCTGAAGTAAACATCTGAAATCAATATTAACCCTTTGCACTCGAGGGCTCCGGAGCGGAGCCATTTAAAATTTGTCTTCATACTCTTCAAACTCAAATGCAAATAGCAAGAGCGGAATATCCTATACACAATAGTTTTTACGATTTGTCTTTGTCCTTATGTTATAAACTGAAAGTTATTTGCATTGTCTCCATAGCGGAGCCCTCGAGTTTGAAGACAAATTTTAAATGGCTCCGCTCCGGAGCCCTCGAGTGCAAAGGGTTAATATATTTTTTTTATTTGTCAGGGCTACAGTTATTAATTGATGACGGAGGCTTCCTGTAAATTTCAAAATCATTATTTAATTATTTATTTTACAAGCACGAATTTTTTGCAGTGAAGGGATTAAATTTAATTATTTATAGCTCCTATTTTGGGAAATATTATTGTTTTTTTAAATCTATTCCGCTAAGCTGATAAACCTAATGAATAAAAAATGTATTGACACTGATTTCAGAACATCCTGAACTATTTCCCGAAATGGGAGTAGTAAGCAATCAAATTTAATCTTTTCACTGAAAAATGCATTGTATTGTAAAATAATTAAATGATTTTAAAATTTGCAGGAAGCCTCCGTAAATCAATAATTATAACTCTGATGAATAAAAAAATATATTGATACTGATTTCAGACGTATCACTTCCGTTGAGACTAAGATAGTTACCGAGATGCGTAAACTTTTGCTGAACAGAAATGAAATGAACACAGTGATGTTATATTCATCATAAAATTTCATCTGTTTATATCAAGATATTGTTAAAAATGCATTTAATAGATATACATAACAAAAAATTCATACGCCTATTAATTTACAACTTTCTACAACTCTACAAATTTTATTTAATTTTTACTCCTGTTAGGATACTGTGACCTCTAACTAAATCTTTTTTCTATTATTGCGGAGTTATTGTAGAAGATAAAAGACTTATTTGTGTTCAAAATCGCTATTACTGTAATGGTTGAAAAAAAATCACGTTTTTCCATACATCAGTTTTGTATATCTTGTAAATACTTAGTAATAAGTACTTAGTAATAAGTACTTAGTATTTACAATATATACAAAAATGATATATGGAAAGACGCGATCATTTTTTTCAACGACTACAGCGTTTTTGAACACAAATAAGTTTTCTTTTATTTTCCTCAATAACACCGCAATAATAGAAAAAAAAAAAACAATAAAAGTCCTTTATAACGACAAAGTCCTTTACAACAAATAAAAGTCCTTTATTTAACGACGAATTGTTTGATTACGACAGGTGGCGCATTGGCGTTAACATCACATAAAACTCCACGAGATCTTGCATCAGAGAGCAATGAGTTCCACATTGGATCTCTCTATAAAGCAAAGATTATTATTTTGTTAATTCGAGTTCGATGGTAAGACAAAAATGCGTAGGATCCCACTTAATGACCACATGGATCCATATTCTGAACTCGCTCTTACCGATAAAAGTTTCCCCGAAAATGATTCAAAAATCGTGGCATCGCTTAATAAGCTGAGAAACCACGGGAAGACTCCGATAGCCCGTAGATGATTGGCTGCTAATTTAACATGAGATTTTCTAATTGGTGATCGAGCTGAAAGACTCCAGGCACCGACCGATGTGAGTAGATGTGTGCTATCGCACCGTTTTTCTAACAGATGCTCTCCCAGAAGGAAAGCCGCATTTAAGGCACTTTCATTGATAGAAGAGACTTCAGAATACGGGCCTGTATCTTTCGCTTACCATAAACGTATTAAAATTTCCGCACAGTATCAAACTATGCTTAGCTCTCGTGAGGGCCACACAAAGTCTGTGTTTGTCGGATAGAAAACCAATGCCGTGGCTTCGCACGCAAGATATAATTACAATATCTCGCTCCTGACCCTGAAAACCATCGACCGTATTAACTTCGTAGGTGATCTTTCTCTTTGTAAAGTCCGGCAAGTTAGATATCCTGAAAGAAAAATGTGCCCATAATTTCGCTGCGGCTAAACGCAGGTGAGGCGAAGTGCGTTGCCCTCTCGAAACTCACTTCTCATTAATCTTATCCGTCATAACGGATCTCTGATTGTTGTACGGCGTAAGAACACCGAGGGAGATCGGATCGTTTGTATTTTCCCACTTGGCGTATCTCAGCATGGTATAGATCATATTTGACACGAATTCCGCCTCATTGGTGTTGGAGAACTTGTCATTATTCTGCGCAGAATTGTGATTCAGCACTCTGTACGAATGAAACGGGAACGCCAGTCTGTTCTCGACGGAGTTTTTCAACTTGTTGTCGTAGAAATATTTATTCGGCCAGTACGAGATGAAGTACTGCATCCGATATTGCGTGTCGAGCGTTATTATAGGATTGTTCTCTTGCAAGGCAAAAGCATGTTCCATCCGCGAGAACACCGACTGATCCAGGCCTAGCTTTTTCGCACGCTGGCTCAGCACAGTCGCTGGTAGCTGATTCGGGTCACCCACCAGGACCAGAGTGTCTATCCCTAACATTAACGGTATCAGAGTCTCCGCTTCGCAACTCTGAGTCGCTTCGTCAACGATGCAGAAGGAGAGCCTCTCCCGGTTAGGGCCGAAGATCGATTCCATCTGATTGGTGTAACAGGACGCTAGCGTGCAAGCGATTATGTCGGCGCCCGCGATGATAACTTCCTCGTTGTAGCGTTGATACCTTTCGCGGTCCCTCACATTGACATCGTGGAACAACCTGCCGGTCTGCAACAGTTCATATCTCGCGGCCGCGTCAGATAATGCTCTCTTGCATTCCCTTCTCTTCGCCTCCGTCAGATTCAAAGTGAGTTCATTTTTTAACGAATCTATCTTCGTCTTCAGTGTCATCAGCTCCATTCGAACGTTGGTCGTACTGTTGCTCGAATAGCAGCACGCGTTTTCCGAGAGTCTTTGTAAAAATCGTCTCGCCAGTTCCGACGAGGAGACACATTTCACATCTCGATGTATGTGTTCCTGCCGGCCGATGCGTACCAAATTAAAGCCATAACTGTATTTTTGTTTCAAGCTCGGTCTGATGGCTATAAGCCTCAACACGACTTCGTCAAGGGCGGCATTAGACGGTGCGCACAGCAGAATTTTGGTTTTCGACTTTTCTTGGGCTTTATCGATCTTGTGCTTGCCGACTTTCGCGTCGTTCCTAGGCTCGCGCTCGCCGTACAATATTTGCGTCACCAGGTTCACGATCACTTTGGACTTACCTGTGCCTGGTGGGCCTTGAATCAAGCAGAGCTTCGGCTCCTTTTTCGTCACAGTCTCCGTCACCCTGAATACAGCTTCCAGCTGCTTCGGATTCAGATTGTCCTTCGTAACGAGCGAATTACAGGTGAACGACGGATTCATCGGCGGCAGACTGCAGTCCTCGAACTTCGGATTCAAGATCAGCTTCAAGAGAGGCGACTGAGGTAGGTAATGCACCGCTTGCACCATTCTCATTTCCGGCCTTAGGTACCTCACCGCGCGCATTCTATTCAATCTAGTCAGGAGGATATCGTGCTCGATAGGTCGCGTTTGCACGGTGTACGATATCAATGTGTGTGGATTCTTCACGTAATTCTCCAATTCCTTGTTGTAACGCGTGAAGTCCGTGATGGTCGTTCGATAAATTTGAGTGATGTAAGCGAACACTTTGTGAAAGATCTGCCTGCCGTTCATGTACTGAACGTACTCGAAAGACACTAAATCGCCGAACTGCGGGTATATATTCCTCGCTTCGTCCTGTTTTGTGACCAACACCTCGAGCATGAGAGTTGTCAGGAAGTGATTGGTCGTCGGGATCGGAGTACGTGTAATACTATTCTTGACGATGGAGCACATCATGGTCGGCTGTTGCACGTTCTTCTCGAATATCTCGAAATCCTTGTATATCTTGTGCCACGTCTCGAGTAACAGGAGAGGCAACGCCACGTTGTAATAATGTCGAAAAGATTCGTAATGTATCTTCATAGGTTGCAGTTCTTCGTCCCGCACCACCGGTGGCTCACTGTTCAGGTAGCGTTGTTCCTCAAGCCACACCGGGTTCCACATGAAGATGCGCAACAGGTACTCTTCTAGCTTCGGGTACCACTCCGGAGTGGTTTTCTCCGCTTTGACTAATTTTTCCACAGGTATCGGCGCGTCTTTCCCGACCAATTTCTTCAGCGTGTTCTTCGATTCAATTTCGTATTCTTTTACGTCCACCTTCGGGGAGAACGTCACGCCCTTCTTCTTCTTAGTTTTCGTAAGTCTCTTCTCCTGCCGCAAAATGGAAGCACATCCCCTGGATTTTTCGGGTGATTTAGACACCGCCGTTTCACCACCGTTTATATTCTCGGCCACTTTGTTCCCTTTCACTCTGCTATTGTTGTGTTTCTTCTTTTTCCCGATCACGCTCGAATCCGCCGTGTCGTCATGCTTTTCGGGCAACTCATCTATGTCCAACATATTGTTCAGGTTTAACGACTGTTCCAGCGTTGCGGCCATGTTATTCACCGCGTTCTTGCAGACGATCGACTTCGCTCTCTCCGCGAATTTGCTCGAAGACGATTTGGATGCACGCATCTCTCGTTCCTCGCACAGGAAATCACCCCGATTCTTCAGCGACACCTTGACCCTCGGTTTAGCGGTGCCGCGTTTAATATTCTTGTTACCGTCGGCGGCCAATTTCTCCTCCTCGGCGATCCTCTTCAGCTTCGCTTTTCTCTCCTCCATTATGATTTTCTTCTCCTGTTTAGAAATGGATGGCCGGTTCGCTATGCTCGATACAGTATGATCCGACGACTCTTTGGACGATCCTTTGTTTTGCTTCTGTTCCTTGCTGTAAAAGTGATCGTCGAGTTTTTCCTTTAATTGCTGCATTCTACTTTCTTCTATTGTCGAACCAGACGGCGACTTGTCCTCGGATGTTTTCGACGTCTTGTTACGGTCTCTGCTGGAATCCTTACGATCACTGCTCTTGCCTCGGCCTCGTTTTGGAGGTAGATGTGGCGCCTCTATCAATGAAATAACTCTTCTCCTCGCTGCGGCAAACTTCGATCTAGATTTTGCACCGGAGACCGGAGACGACGTGCTGCTAGATGTTTCCGCTTGTTTGTAGAGTTCTGCGTTGTGTCTTTCACCCGCCTTTTGTCCGGCTGAATGATCCGTATTCTCCGAACTAAGCTCGTTGAACACATCAACGTCATCTATATCCATCGGGTCCGTTCCTGTCTTAATATTACTGAAGTCTTCGCGTTTAATCTTCTTCTCTGTACTTGTACGACACTCAAAAGATGTTTCTTCACAGGCAGAATCTTCGGGGGCATCAGTTAACCGTGCACCAGCCACCCCACTAAAGTCTTGGAAGTCTTTAGAGGTACCCGGTATCGGGCTTCGGACCATTATTTTGGCGATATCATCTTCTTGCCAAATCCCCAAATCTATCTCTTCCTTTACAATCGAACTGACTACATCGGGCTTTTTGTCTTCATTGATCAGTTGACTTCTGGATAATCGATGTAACCATGGATTATCGTCATCCTCGCTGTCCGTCAATACGATGACATTGTCAACTATGTCCAACGGATGAACTTTCTCGGTGTCGGTACCGACACACTCTTGTTTAATTTCCACGTCCTGCTTCACATTGTCTTCGAATTTAATATCGAAAAGTTGGGAGTACGGGAATACCCCGTCCTCGCTGTCACTGAGATCGACAACATCGACTTCCGAGAATCGGGTTTTCGATTCATGTTTAATTTTCTTCAATTTCATCGGTGTCGTCTTATCTGTCGCTTTAGTTTTGGAAGCTGCTAAAAGTGCTTCTTCATCCTCATCCGTTAGTTGCAAGTCATCTTCATACTTGATTGATTTGTCATCATAATGCACAAATCTTGATTCCTTCGAATGTAATGTGCTATTTATTCTGCCAAAGTTATTGGTGTTTTTTCTTATGGCACGTATATTGTTAACAGACTTGCCATTCTTACTGTTACTTTTATCGTCTTTATCAATATCCATCTCGTCAGTTTGGCGTTCTGACTTGATCTTCCTTTTTAAGTATGTTTCATATTTAAAAATCTTATCTTCAAGGTTCCATTCTTTTTTTTCGGGGAATATTGCGTCAATTATTTCAACGTCATTTTCTTGCTTTATACATACTGCAATTTCAGATGCAATTTCTTTACTTATATTACAGATGTCTTCATTGTTTGAAATGTTTGTATTAGTACTGGGACCACCAAAACTACAAGAATTAATTTCTGTAACAAAAGTTAAATTAATTCCAAGGTAGAGTATACAGTGTAGAAGATAGCAAATTACTATTTCTTTTATTCTCTAATCTATTATTGAAGAAAAAGATTTCACCTTCTGGAAGATCAACACAATTATTATTTGTGTATTTTGGTACTTTACATGGCATTGTCAAATTACAGTTGTTTGGAGAAATCTTACGTTTTTCCCCGGACACATAATCTTGATAGGAATTTGATTGTTTCTGAGATGTCGGTGTATCACCAATTGCAACTGTTGATGACAAATCACTAGTGTCCGCTACTTCAACCAGATCAGATGTCTGCGAAAATTTTAATGTTTTAATGACAGGTACTAAACTTTCGTCACATTATAAATTAAATAATAATCAGGTATATAGTTTAAAAAAATATTTTACCTTTGTAACGCAAACTTTATATACAAATGATTTATCGTCATCTGGACTGATATCTGGACAGCCAATTCCAACAATATCATTTGGAGATAATTGCACCATTTTATAAGATTCTTGTACTATACCATTGATGAAAATTCCATTTGAACTCTGTTTATGAAAAAAATAAGGACGGAGATATAATATAATTTTTCTAAATGATAATTATAGAAGTAAGTCATTATACATACATACCTTCAAATCCGTGACAAATAACTTTTCTGCAGTACGGAGAAAAATGCAATGCTTACGAGATACTTGTACATTGCGGCATATAATTGTGTTCTCAAGACCTCTGCCACAAGAATACTAAAACAAAATAAAACATAAAAGCTATGATTATATGTAACAACCTTGTTTTACAATACAATACATATGCCTCTACTAGCCGATATATCGAAATATAATTAAAATACATAGTCAATATTTTTTTATTCATATCGTTTAAAAATTATATAAGGCAGTTATCAAATCTGTAAGCTTTATTTGTATTTGAAAATTTCAGAAAGCTAATCGAATGCTTGAACGAAAGGAGGGAGAAATTGATTCTTTGTAAAATTATCATCCATATTGTCCTCCGCAACTATATTTTCACTAAGCTCATCAGTAAGCGACAAGTAATAAAAAAAGTATACACACACATATATATATATTCAAGTCGATATATATATATCAGCTAGTAGAGGCATATATATATATATATATATATATAGCTGATATATGTACATATATATATATATCTTTTTTGTTTGCAAAATGTTAAGATTTTTATGTTCATATTAGTATAAATTACAAATATACGATGGATAAGATACTTAGCAGTGGACAATATATATAGTATACCAAAGGAATATCCAAGAACAATCACACATAAAACATATCTAACATATTATGTATAGTAAAAAACTTAACAGCATTAATTATATATTATATATAATTATATATATATATATATATGTGTGTATGTGTTTCATTTGCATTTAAAAAAGCTTTAGACGATAGCTGCACAAGTGGATTTTGCAGTGAGTAAGAAGAGAATCAAATCCCTAATAAATATTACAGTCATTGTCAATATGAATAAAGATGAGTTGAATAAATTTGCAACTTCCTCCGATTTTTTAATGAAGATATTGCTGCGTACTTCCTCGATTTTTTTTCTTATTGCCATATACAATTCAAGTAGCAAGAATATCTCTTTGAAATGTTATATTAGAACATATGTATTTATGTATGTATATGTATGCTAGATTCTTTAGACAAATAGAAATAAATTGAAGTCGCGTGCCTTCTCTTCGAAATTTTAGTTTTACTTATTATGTGTCCGACAACATAGAAATTCTCTTACTACGTAAGAATGGTTAACCTTCTTCGAGGTCGAAAAACACTCGTGTTTACTTAATATACTAATACTAACACTAAATAAATGTAACAATATCGCTTACGGATTTGCCACATTCAAGGACAATTCTTTCCTGATCACGTTCCAGTACGAAATCCATCTCCGCTCAATTCTGCGCAGAAATATAGCCCTCATTTACGGCGTTTTAAAATATTGTCACAACCTTCCTTCCACACGAGCATACAGATAACAGCGTGTTTCGCGCGCTCAGACTGTCGTGCGACGCCGCAGAAGTACAAAGCCGGCTTTGTATACATACCGGCAATACAGAATTAAAATAACAACCCTCGTAAATTACATCAAGAAGAGAGATACGGAAAAGGAATAATTGAAACATACATATAATTAATTCGTTGAATTTTAGCAATGACAAGTTTACTGCTCCCAACAGAACTTTTTACACTTTGTCTTTTTACTCTTCATTTTTCCGTAAAACCACTTTGTATCTAACGATTCAGTACTGTTGTTACGCCATTCGGCAGTAGTAATAACGTACGATATATAACGAAATTAACACTGTTGCTAAGAATTACAGAATGTATTTACCAAATGTCCCAAATTCATACGGTCTTCGGGAAAGAGAGACAATCGCTTACCGATGAGTCTAGTGAAAGTGGAAAACAGATAACAAGATGAGTGATGACCGAAGAGTCGATTAATATACGATTTCTCCCTCCTGCTGTTCAAGATCATCCGATTAGCTTCCTGAAATTTCAAATACAAATAAAGCTTACAAATTTGATTTAACCGCCTTACATAATTTTTAGAAAAACATATATTAAAAATTATTGACTAACTATGAATTTTAATTTTATTTCGATATATCGACTAGCACGTCAGGTGTTGATATGCTTTAACATTGTTAATTAGTTAAATTATAATATTATAGATGAGATCAACTACATAGAATAATAACGCTGGTAGCGTGTTCCCCGAACGCAGCCCATATGCGCGTGCCCTAAAGGTCATTCTATATTAGTTACTATTCTTGTTTCGCAACTGCTAAACAGAAGCGTCAATAGTGCTACTGACGTTTCTGATTGGCTGTCGCAACGTGAGTTGCGTCTGCCTGCGATTGGTTAGCAACTAATATAGAACGATCTTAAATGGATGCACCAAAATTTGAACACAGACGACGTTTTTACGGCAACGTTAATCCGGCTTAATAAAAACCGTCGTTATGCCCGTATCGAACTACGGATTGGAGATCGAGATTGGATTAAAATTTAACCAATCAGAGCAAAGTTCACTAAACTTTTGTATGAAAACATGTGTATAACCTATGTGCGCATCCGTGCATATGTAAGAAGTGCCCTATGCTCCTCGGAGCAGTTTTATAGGAACGCTACAAATGCAAGAGTTCGCTAAATAACACACTTCCAGTGAATTAGCTCCACTCTCTCTTATTTCTCTCTGGACTATGAATATTTGGCCTGTTCTTTTTAGCTGCACCGCTGAAGTAGTGCAATAAGTTGAAGCGAGACAAGTTTTCTCACTTCAACTTATTGCACCAGTTCAACAGTTCAGCTAAAAATAACAGACTAATTGATATATTAATATCGACCTAAAGTACAACTATGTGATGGTTAAATCCGCGGGTGTTCGATTACTTACGAAGTAGGAGTCTAGTCCTCAATAAACCTTCTTGGGAACAAATATATGTATTTAATAAATGCAGTTTACGTTCGCTTTCTTTTTTTGTAATTGACCAAAACAGATCGTTTTTTTAAGAACTCTTGCTTCATTCGCTCGAGTTGTTCACAATACACTGTCGCTGTAACGGTCTGACCAGGTTCGAGCAATTCATAATGTATGATTCCTGAAAAATCCCACCACACACAAACAAGGACCTTCTTTATTGTTAGTGATGGTTTAGGTGTCGGAATAGGTACATCTCTGGGAGAAAGCCATTGTTTTTTTCGTACAGGATTATTGTATAGCACCCACTTCTCATCTCCAGTTACAATTCGTCGCAAAAACAGATCAGTTTCATACCGAGACAAAAGAGACGCGCAGATTGTACGCCATTGATCGAGTGCCGTCTCTGTCAATTCATGAGAAACCCAAATTCCTTGCCTATACACTTTTCCTGTGCGATGAAGATGATCCTGAACTGTAGACCATGGACAGCCGATCTTTAGTGATAATTCCCTAATATTTGACGAGGATCTGGATCCACCATCGCCCTCAGGATATCATCATCTAATTTTTGAGGTCGTCCCTTTCGTTCAACATCTTCGAGATTCCTATTGTGGCGGCTATGCTCTATCTCGCTTGCATGCGAGCTCGCCCCCCACCACACGCCGGCGAGCTAGTCTTTTGTCACTGCACGGCTAGTCTTTTGTCGCTGTGCGGCAGTAAAACAGTGGAGACTAGCCCGCCGTTAGAGCTGCATCGTTCTAGTGTTTCTCTGCGTAATAAAAGAGTCTTTCTTAATCTCTGTGCCGAATACTCAGGGGCACATGCCTAGATTCTTCCCAGGCTATCCCTTCTTCCCAGGCTATCCCTTCTAAACCTCCACACTATTTCCATTTTCAAACTTTTTAAACCATATATGACACTTGTTTAGTTTTAGAACATCGCCGTAAGTGTCGTTAATTTTTTTCACTGCTTCGTTTGCCTTCAATCCTTGATCGAACAAAAATAGCATACAATGACGTAAATGTCCTTCTTCTATTGTTGGCCTTGACATCTTTCCTCCTTACTGGAACAAAAATTTTTTAACCGAAAAATAGAATTTACAACCAAGCTTGACCGTAGCAACAAAACTTACGTGTTTACTGGACCGTGTCTCCACACAAACTGACTGTGAATGAACACATCGAAAACATTTTGATTACTTTTCGGTTTACCTAATATTAACATAAACGTGACTCGATAAATCCGACATAGGAAAACGTGTGTGTTACATTATCTAGAATCTTCTTCTTCTTCCTCTTTCTGAGCCTCAAGGGCTATAGATATGGACTAATCAACTTTCCGTTGGAAGTAGTTTCTAAGGAAAGTGTGAATTCGTCACTTGGCCGCGAGGAATAGAAGTACTAGGGGAATGAGTTGTCCCTAACGTAGTGCCACAACTACAGATTAGTTAGCGTCATCTGGAAATATCGCAAGAAAGCTTAATACAATTGATAATGTAGTTACAAAAAAATATTTGATTGTAAATATATATATATATATATTTACAATCAAATATTTATATATATATATATATATATATCGTTATGAGACGCTTGAATAATTATAAATCGTAAGATTAATACCATATTATGCACTACACTTCCATATATATTTATCTTGAATAATTAATAACTGTCGGTGAATCATCGATAATGTCACATTTTCTATCATCTCCCGAGAACTTTAGTATTAGTGTTAGTTCTAAAATCCTCGCTAGAAGTCGCTACTAACTTTAATACAAATTAGTCATAATAATAGGCTATGTTCCTGACACCTTGCATTTTATATATTTTTGTTGTTTGAATTTTGCCTATTTGTTTAGGAAATGTCAAATATTCCCCCAATTGTTGTGCGTAGTGTATACATTTAACATTTTGCGGTCCGCGGCTCACCCGAAGACGTTTGTCTAATGTGTTCAAACTTTTCGAAGGCATAATATGAAATTAGTCGCGTTTATTTGATTGATTTTCTTCTTATACAAATGTTGATATCTAAAAAACTATTGAACCTAGCGTGTTCAAAAACTTTTGTCGTGAAGTTCATTTTTTTCTCTATTATTAATAAACACCATAAAAGGTAACTTTTCGGTGAGAGACGTGGATTTTCTGAGACCGTCAAAATTCTGGTCTATTTTGAGCTGGAAAAAAGTCAAACATAGATATAATCGATTTTTTAAGCGCACAAATTATATCAAGAGGATTAATAAAAGAATAGAAAATATACTTCTCTTCTCGCTCACATGTGCTTGCAAACATTGTTTTTTTCTTCGCGGATATAAATTAATATTCTCATCGTCTGATGATTCTGACGAGATTTGTTTCACGACACGTCGACGAAATATCGGTAATACGTCATCTATGACTATATAATATGAAACAAAATAATATAAAATACGGCATAATACGAAATCAACTAGTACATAAATAAACAAATACAATTAGAGAACACATGTACGATCGATAAATAATAAACCAATGACTGATTGTAAGAGGAGTATTTACCTTCTACATCTTGAATTTCTTTATCTGAAGAAAAATCTGTGTTAGATAACATATTTTGCTTTTCCTCAGCTCACAATAGCGTTTACACTGCTAAGATCTGTCTATCGACTAAAATCGAAAGACTAGCTCCGAAAGAACAATCCTAACACTTGGAGCGTCACTTGTTTTAACATAGCTACGAATTGCTACTCATCTGTTTCGCATGTTGCCAATTGCTTAAAACCGCATATGTTTCGATTTATCGATAAAACCAATGTTGTCAGATCGCGACGGCACAGTGCTGTCGACGGACTGCAACGTCGAAATACGTACGACGGCCCCATGCCGTCAACGGACCGCTATGTCAAAACGAGCGCGACGAAATCATGCCAGCCCACGGACTGCCAAGTGTTAACACGTTAATTGCCAATCACGCGATATCGTGTGATGCGAGTTCTCACCAAACGGCCGATCACGCGTTATCGCGTAATAGATATTTAGAGTACATAAATCCTATGTACATAATAATAAAAGCATATAAATAATATATTAACTTATTTTGAGCACAATAAAAACTAAATTGAAAAATTTAAAAAATACGAAATTCCAATTTTCAGCTTGGCAATGAACGTGTTAAAGGACGTGCAGAAATTAACATGCGCTACCTAGGAAGTAATTATAGCAATTCCGCTGTGATTATCGTATGCACTATGTAACTTATTTTTAAAACAAAAGCCAACAGGTATTACGTTTTCCTTTATAATGCGATCTATCTGATGCGACGAGAACATTTAACACATCTATGTACACGGTGAAGATGACAACATTATATAATGCAAGAAAAATAATTATGTTTCACTATACATGGGTGTATGTGTGTAGGAATGTGGTAGAATTGGAGTAATGAAATTATTGAAATAATATAAGTGAAATAAAAGTAGAAGTACTTACGATTTTAGCGCATCAACTGGGGTGGATAATACGCAGACAATGAATTAAAATAAGAATCCAACTTAAACGGAGAGATTCTGAATGAGTATGTCTGCATGACTGAGTGACTGACTGCGAGCAAGCGACGGAAAAGTCGTGATTTTATAAGGGATGTCTGGGGCAGATAGTGAGTGATTTCTACCAATAGGAGACCATTTTTACAGAGAGCGGATCAATCTTCGTAAAAGAAGGAGGAGATGCGAATTTTAGACTTGTCAAAGGATTCGAAGATGCGTGTAGGAAAAATAAGTGGGATAAGAGTAACAACCTATA